AAACCTTGTTCTTTTATTTGTTTAAAAATCCATCCCTGGTCTGTGTGACTTCTTATAGGGAATGGTTGGTGGCAGCTTAGTGAAACTGTGGCATATCCCAGTAGGTCTGGGTTTGTCACAGCAACTTGCTAGGTACGTTGGACACCTTACTACGTCCTATACGACCCCATGGCTAGAGTGCAATGTGTTCCAGCAAAAATAGTGCAAATCTTTATTAAATTTGGTGCATTTTCTAGTTTGGTACATAGCCCGGCAGCCATTGATACTGATGATATATCCTGCTAGTTCGGTATATAGCCTGTGTAGATTCAATAATATTTTGAATTCCAATGATGTATGATTTCCTTCCTTTCAAATCAAGGGGGTAATGTTGGCGTATATAAAAAAAAAATTTGGGGGGGTGGTAAAAGGTAAAAAAGTTCCTTGACCCATGCTCTAAGGCAATTAGCCTTCCTTTTGTTCCGTGATCACCCACATAAGACAAACTGTGTTGGGGTGTGATGGAATACTAGGATTGTTAGTCGCATTAAAAACCAAAGATCCAACTTGCAAAGAAACTTGCCATCACCAGGGATCAAATTTTATCAACCTGTTTTCTGACCCTTGGAGCAAATATATAGGAAACAGGGAGTGAATAAATCTGTGGGCTGTGGTAGCTGCTAGCCGGTCCCTTCTGTTTAATGAAATAGCAGCCAAGCTTGGAAGAAACACCTATATATAATCCATTGACTTCCTGTCTGTCTGCTGATGCTGACAAGCTGTAAATCATTTAGTCCCCACTGGGGCCTGACTCTACACCTGCAGCCAAACCTTACTCATCAGATGTAGCTCTCTGGCTCTCCTGAAGAATGCAGTTTCCCTTCTTTCTTGCAGCCTCCCATAAACTAATCTCACAGCATTTTTCTTACTTCAGTAGAGGCGGACTTAAATGGTTTTCCCTTCCATGTTCAGTCCAGCTATAATCCTTCACAAGTTAAGCAAACAGAATCAAACTGCTCAAACTTCTTTTGCTCAGTTCTATTCTGTCCCTAGAAAGAGACTTGGGATTTTCAACTGCCGTGCAAAATCAACGTGCTCATCATCTCGGTCAGTTTTCTATGGCTTATACTGGCATGCTCATCATCTCACATGGGTGGGCTCGGTCAGTTTTCTATGGCTTATACTGGCTGACTATTTCAATATAATTGTATATATTATCTTGCATGCCCAGAGAACTTGGGAAAAGGAACAATGGGCGGTGATGTACTTTCTAAGAGGTTTTCAAGATACATAGAAGCATCAAGACAGGATGAAACCCAGAAGGAAGTGCAAACACAAACCTTCTCCCCTCCTGAGTCTCCTCTGTTGACTCAGGATGGTGGTGTTATGATGAGGTGCTCACAGTCAGTGGCTAGTTCCAACATCCTACATTTCCTTGACACGTTTGTTCACTCTTGGAGATCCAAGTGTTACAGACTACCAGGAAAAGTGATGGTCCTCACCTCAATGTCACATTTTGACTTCAGCGAAAAGCAGAAGAAACACCACCCAATGCTGCTATGACCACAGGCAAGCAATGCAACCTTGGTGTCTGCTTGAGGCTGTCTTCACAGCTGATGCCTACTTTGTCTCATTTCATCCCAAACAATGGGTCCTTACTGGCCTATTCAATACTGTACTTTACATGACCTCCCTCCTTGAGACACAAGTTTCAATTGTAACAGCAACTCCTTGTCCTTTGTGAGTGGATTCTGTCAGACCCAGCAAAAGCTGACATTGAGAAGTTAGTTCATTGCTCCAAACTGTTAAGCTCTTGTTGAATATCTGTTTTGTCATAGATTACAAAAGGTTTCAAAGATTTCCTGCAGAGCAGTTACACCCCATCTCACACAGTATCTTCCTCCATACCCACAAAAAGTAAGAAACAAGTACTGTACTACCACTACACTAGTTTTGTTCTGTAGTTTTGGGGAGTTTTAAAATGGAAGGCTTTTGCATGGCTTCTTTCCCGCTCTAAATTTTATTGTCTATTTTCTTGCTTTAGGTTAGGTTAGTCAGAGATCTAATGGAAGGAATTTTACTTGCATACGTGATTGGTCTCAGCAAGGCAAGAAGGGGAGAATGCCTCTCTCATATCAGTAATTTTTAAAATTTTGCTGTCAGTGAATTATTTTACATCTCCATCAAGGCTCCTCAACACACACACACACACACAACTACTAATGCAACTGCCTTTTATACACTTTTGTGTTTCCCCTTACATGGGCATTAGTATGTAACAGAAAAGACGTCAACATAAACCCTCCACTAGGGTTCCACATTATGTGGAGAACTTGCATAAACAGAAGGGACTCTTTGCTTTCAAGATCTGCCCTGAACACAACGAAGGCAATGAGAACAGTGACAAAGAATGGTGGGACTGGAGTACTTCTCTCGCTCTCTTTTTTGCATGCTGCTCTAAGTAACTTTTGGAATTCTTGAAGAAGGCTACCGTCTCAGATGTTATTTTGGAATGGACAAAAGAAAGACCAATTTTTAGGAGACCAGACAGACTATTACTGGTCTATATCTAAAGATATTGAAGAGTAAAAAGTATTACTACTATTTATTTACTCCAGTGATTCAATTATCTGAATCAAATTAATACTCAGAAAACAAGACATCAGTTGTTGATATAAGTATTTCAATGTGCACCGATAAAATAATCTGATGCAGAAAGGCTACATTAATATTACATTACTTTCATATTGCTTTTCCTTAAGTCAGACTCCATCAAGGATGTCTCAACTGTTTTTGTTTGAACAACTGTCCACAATATACTCTCATATAGCCACGGCTGGGTCTTTGCCTTAACCTTGGCTAGTGTAAATGTTAGCTCAAAAATGCCCTGTACCAGTTATTCTCTCAAGAACCACTGGTTATTAGGGGTGCAAATATTGTTCCGTTCTCTAAATATTTTCTCCTACCTGGCAGCAATCCTTCCAAGTTCGAGCAAACACAGGCACACTTCTCTGGGCTGCTTGTGGAGGACTGCAAAGCAAAACAGAGACAGAAAGTATTTACCGAAAAGATATTTCACGCATCTGAATGGTGTACCAATCCTAGCTGGTTGTGTCCTCATCCTCAACACTTCAGTCTTGAACTTGTAACATATGACCAAGTAAAGGTTGGTAACAAAATTTATTTTTCAAAAAAAAATTGATTAATTGGACTGCAAGATTCTGTAAGACTATTTTAATAATAATATAATAGCAATAATAATCTTTTAAATACAAGTTCATGTAAAAAAGATAGATAAATCCCATTTCAGAAGTATTTGCTCCACTTTTCAGCAAAGGCAGGAACAGATCAAAACTGATACGTGCAGACATAAATTAAACCAAGAGTGGGAAATCTGTGGCTCTGTAAATGTTGCTGGACTACAACTACCATCATTCCTGAACACTAATCATGTAATCTAATTTTGAAAGGAACTGGAATCCAGAAATACACAGAAAGCTATGGACTCACTATTCCTGATGTAAAGCAACCCATCCTATTTTTCACAGAACAGCTGTTTCTCCCAATGCAAATTTATGTAGATTCTTGATATATTTTAAAACAGGTTAGAACTATATTAGTAATTGTGACAGACTGAAATAAAATATAGAGAACATTCCCAAGTTAATTCCCAGGTTAACTATAAGGTTCAAATTTAAAATTCAATTTTAAACTTTGAATTTTGAATTCTCTGTAGATATTCACTTATGTCACCAAGGTTTCATCCTGTAAAGTCATTCATTCATTCATTCATTCATTCATTCATTCATTCATTCATTCATTCATTCATTCATTCATTCATTCCCAAGTGAACAACAGGTGCTGGAGACATATTGCCGGAAGAAACGGATAGAGTTAATAATTGGGAAGGCAATTAATAGGAGTAATACCCAATCTTTTTAAAAAGAGCCATACTGTTATATGCTGTGTGTGAAAGTTCAAAGACATATAACTAGTCCCTGTTAGAAACACACTGCCAAACAGAGTACAGTGGACCCTTGACTTACAGTAGAAGTAATACCCAATCTTTTTTAAAAGAGCCATACTGTTATATGCTGTGTGTGAAAGTTCAAAGACATATAACTAGTCCCCGTTAGAAACACACTGCCAAACAGACTATAGGCACTCAGCTTTGGGAGCAACTGGTCTATTTCAAGTAAGTCACACTCTTCTTCCAAAACAACAGGACTATAACCAAATTATCATTTCATTTAAAGTGTACTCAGGCTCATGCTGGAGCATTAATATCATGGACACATGAAAAGAACTGATATCGTGATGACCTAAAAGTCCAGTAGAGGCCTGGACATGGATTATGAGATTGAGGAGACACTGGCTCTGTAGGAGACACATAATCTGGTATTGATACCCTGAGCCAACAAAACCTGAGACTTCTCAGTCAATGAGGTCCATGAACACCTGTTCACCTCCTAGGCCTGGATGCAGCACTAAGATGGCACATTCTCTGCCAGGAGATCTACAATCCTGGGAGTTTATGCACCAACACCAGGAGCATAAGAAGCAAGAATTCCTGGAGGAGCAATGAAATGCCGGGTGTCAGAAAAGGGTCTGTGTCTTTCAGGCTTTCTTCTTGGTAGGAAGGCTAGGGAAAGTGTGAACGGAGTAGTCCTGGGCCAGAAGTATCAGAAGCTTATTCAGTTCATCACCAGCCATTAATGAGCAGGAAATTATCTATGGTACTGGCAGCCTCCTGGCTGTCTTGCTGACTCTCACGACAACCATGAGTGTAATTAGTGGATTTGCCCCAACATCATGAGCCCTATCCCTTGCAGTTCTGGGTCGGTCTCTAAAGAGCTCTTAATGAGCCTGTCACTGAGAGCTTCACAGGTGCACCATCAAGGGAAGGCTAGAATGTGGTCTTTGTGCCTCTTGCAAATTGAATCCCCCTTCAACATGAGTTGAAATGAGTATCTCAATATTCTTAAAGGTCAGTTTAGAGAAATCGGTTCTGAAACGTCTCATGGGATATTTAGACACATTGCATTCATTTTTGAAATGATGCAGGGTTTCAACAGATGATAGAATGTGAAATGATAGCAAGACAATATGAACAAGTGGAAGTTTCTGCCAGAGTTTTGCTCCTCTGATGAAAATTAATGTGCTTCCGTGTGTCAGGTTCACAGTATTTGATCCAGAAATATCTCATGCATTTCATGATAAACAATGTCAGACAGTGCAATCAGGTAGAATATGACAGACAACACGAGCATTAACCCATCAATCTCTAGTGATATGGTAAGAGTACAGTGATGCATTTAAAAGAAAAACCACAAGCATTCCTGAAGACTACAGCTGCTTTGCATGTATATTTTTGAATAAGTGGATGGATCTGTTTGCTACAGTGTGCGCTGCACACAATAATAGAATTATTTTGCAGAAACAAAATTACTAGTTTCATAATATCAGAATCATCATGATGCTATATTAGCTCCTTGGCACAACAGGCAACAGAAGTGTAATTTTAAAATAAATGGACATACGACAGTAGCCAAAGTTTCTCAGCTTGCTGGAGACCATCCCGTAGAAAGCTACCCCCACCTCAGCACACTTGTTAGAGTACTTTTAGACTAGAAAAAATATGTGCCTAAAAACAGTAGCAATATTAGTGTTTCATCTGGATGAAAAAAATTTATAAGATAGTACTATAAATAGTCACTCCCTATGTGTAAGATGCTGCTTGTCTCCCTATGGCTCCAAGGGCTTCATCCAGCCTTGGTGTGGGGACCAGGAGCCACAAACAGAGGTCCATACTTGTGTGCATGCACTCTCCTACTTAAATCACATCCCTGGACATACGCGCCCCTCAGCGTGCTTCATTGTCAGACAGTCTCCCATCACTGGTTGCAATCTTGTCCTTGCATACTGAAAAGTGAGCAAAAGGGATAGAGTTCTGCAGAGAGGAGTTGAGGACCACCTGTACCTCCAGGGCTGCAGGTTTTGCAACCCTGTTTTATACTAGTATATCCCAATGTGATTTTTGGCACATTTCTTCTTCTTCTTCTTCTTCATCATCATCATCATCATCATCATCATCATCATCATCATCATCATCATCATCATCATCATCATCATCATCATCATATTCTAATTCATTCATGGAGACTTATTTCCATGAGGCTTATTAAATGTGTGTGCTGAATTAATCAAGAAGGAGTGATCCTTAATGATATGTTTAAAGGTGTCATAAACATTGTTGATCCTCTGAATAGCATTTTTAGGGTGTTCAGGTTGCACCATGGATGCCAGCTCTGTATGTGTAGAACTCCTGGAGAGCAGCAGAAGCACTTACAGGGCTGGACACAGCACACAGCAGGCCTGCCTTCCTTTCTGCCTCTTTTCAATGCTATCCTGCTGCCTGCTCTCCAGATTAAGTACCGTGAACATATATAAAAACATCTGAAAAGTCCAGGGGACTGCACCTGTACTTTGTCAGGCAACATTAGCTATATATTTTAGTTGTGTTGCTTCTATCTGATTATGGTGCATCTGCAACAAAGGTTGACTGCTATAGATACAGAATATACACTACCATGAATAGTTCTTTGCTCTGTACTAGAGATATGCATGCTTCAGTTTGGTCACAGTATCTCCAAAAGGGCACATGGTGTATCAGGCAAAGATTTGTGTCTGATCCACCCTGTACTCCTTTTGGAGATTCCCTGACTTAATCCTTGCTTGGTCCTTGCCTGTATTCGTGCACTTCTAGTTCTCTGTGGGGGGAAAAAAACGTTCCTGTGAATGAGGACACTGAAACAATCATAAACAGAATGATGCATGCAGGACAGAAGGGCTTCTGGCCAGACCAGCAGCAGTCTTCAGAGCTGGATGTTCTGTTTTATTATATTATTATTATTATT